AGTAAAATTCACACAATGAAAGACTCTGAAAGAAAATACAAGAAACATGAAAATCTAAATGGGACCAGTCAATAGACGCTACTTGAAGAATAAAGGATGGAAAGGTCAACAGAATGAAGGAAAGGAGAATTACTGGAGCTTTCCCAACATAACTGCCAAGGCAGAGCCCATCTCAGACTCAATCTTCCTGGGTGCTTTGGAAAAATGTTATGGCTAGAGAGCACAAATGCTTATCATGGATCTAATATTCTTTTGTCTTCTCTCCAAAATACTTCTTGATAAAATAATCTCACTGTATTTGAGGGGACAGAATGAGAATCAGGAAGGATGAAGGAACAATAAAAACAAATCTCCAGTACCCGAGGGTGACTTTTTTTCTCCACCACAAACATACCTCTTTACAAACCTTTCTAGGAAGACAATCAGTCAACATCTATAAGGGGAACTGCAAGATAAAGACAGGACTTCCCTTGTCACAAATAAGACATCTGACTGAGTTTATGAGTCATTTTGTGAAGAGGTGGGCCAAGTTCTGACTTTACAGCATTTTGTATCACAGAAGATGAGATATCTTAATGAAAGCAATAGTTTGCTACAGCTTCAGTGGGATACACTTTGGCCCTTTTGTCCCTGGAATCTAAGTGTCCCAAAGGCAACAAACTGCCCTGATGATTTCCAAAAGCTCATTTTCAGGACATCAGAGTCTGCACCCGCAAGCTCTAGCAAGCCTAAGGAGTTGCCCAGTCAGCTTTGAAACGTTCAATGCAGACAGCCATGAGAATGCTTTCAACATGAGAGCTTTCAACAACACGGGTCCAATTTGAAAGAGTTTCTTGTTCTTTTTGAGTAGAATGGGACATTTTATGGAAAGAAAACTACCAAATCCTTCCAGAACAGTTAGTAAGCTTTTTCTTCTAAGGAAGGCACCTTGTTTCCATTCACAGTTCTCTGTAGTCATGCGTTTGGTAATATGTTGCTAGACAGCTGATGATGAACATAAATTTGACAACTTAGTTTACTCTCATCTGCTCTGGGTACTCCAGGGTCCTGTGTAACTCTGGTCCAGAACATTTTTTTTTTTTTCTGTGCCTTGGAACAGTGAGCTATTTTTCTCTTCTCCAGGAGGTCAAGGCAGTGTACTCTGTTTGGTTAAGATGCAATTCTGGCAGGATCAGTTAGGACTCAAGGCAGACAGACCAGAGGACAAAAGTGTTGTCGCACTACTTATAGAAGGTCCAGATAATTAATGCTACCCAGTCCAAAAGCCTGGGAATATTTTAACACTACAAGGAGACACTAGCAAGTCTTTGTTCCTGCATAGAACTGCTGTGTGCTTATTAAGTCCATCTTGAACTAGTAATGAGAAAATCCTTTGTTGATATAAACCAGCTTAATTCAATAGACTTTCTTTCAGCAGGTAACTTAATCCATTGGGAACTGGTGGCCCTATTGTTACAGAACTTTCCCTATCAGGAAGCGTTGCTGTCATATGCCCACCATCTTGTTCCTTCTACAAGGCCTTTCCTCTCAGATTGCATCTGGGTTCAGTTGTTGGTGCAATGCTATGTCCCTGGCTGGAAAGGGCATGTTTGGATGGATACAGAAGATTAGCTAGTGATGAATATTTGTATTAGGACTGGAAGTGACTTTGGTGTTAAAGTAGGTGACAAGGGTGAGGCTCTGGGGAAAAGGGAATGAAATCCCTAAATCTGTGGCTTCTTTTTCTGCTACCAACTTAGAACAAAGGAGTTATAGATATGGCCCTGTACTTCAGCACTGGCCAATGATTATGGCTTATCTGATGGTTAAATAAATTTGCATCCTGCTTTTTATGGTGTGCTTCTTGTACTGGTGTCATCTTTTGTCTGACACTGGACTGAAATAATCACAGATAAAAACTGGAAAGATCCTTGTGCATTCAATAACCTATCAATTAAATAGCTGCATTTTTTTTTCAGAGGCATAAACATAAATTATATATCAGGTTTTCATCTGAGATTCCACTGCTTAGTGACTACAGAATTATACTAGCTTATTACTTAAAAGTAATAAGGGTAAGGGTATATAAGGTGTATATATATTATATATATATATACATAAAAGATACATATATAACTATACCTTCATACAAGGGTAAGATTACACTGTTAATTCCCTCACCAAAAATCTTGCAGTTTAGCCCATATGTTTCTCAGGCTGTTCATATATTTTGTTTTGTTTCTTCTCTTTTCAACACCCTGTCACAGGTCAACTGACATTCTTCCACACACCCAGATTTTCTAATGTCAGTGTTTCCTATGATCAGTAATAGCAGTAACATAAAAGCACGGCACAGAACATTCTTACAAGGGATGGTGTTGGTGAGAAATGTCTTAATTCAAAATCATACGTTCAAATCTAGAAAAATTCAGATTGGCAATACTTAAGGTCTGTACCAGCTAATGTGTTAAGGATAAGTAAGTATGTCAAATAATACACAAATGTTTACGCAAAAGTAAAATGACAACTCGCTCTGTAAATAAAGCTACTTAATTGCCGGTAAGGAGCTGTGAGGTGGTTCCAGTATGCTGCTTGTTGGCCAGCAAAAGTTGAATCACCTGGTTTATATAATTGTCATGATAGTTGTGTCCACCATATGTTAAAGCTGCATTTCATAGACAAAAGTGTCACATTGGATGTAACTTCTAGTAAAGTTTGTGCTGTCTATTGATCTAATTGCTTCTGACAGTATAACCATTGTATTCAAGGTCTTTCAAGAAAATTTACTGTGCTGAAAGCAATGCAACCAATTCAGGAGTTGTGGATACCATAAGCAGAGAATTTACCAGGAAGATAATTAATTTCTGAAGCAATTGGTTTTAGAAGAACCCCTCCCTAGTCAGTGCTCCCAACTAAAATTGGCTGCTGGTTACTTGCCTTATGTTATGCCCTGTTTCCCCAGAAAAGCTAGAGAGTCACCTTTTTTACATGCAGACTGATTTTTACCTGAAGAAATGTCCAACATTTCTAAGTATGTGCTAACATATTGCACCTCTGCTTCTCTGCATCAGCAACACTGAATAGGGCTGAAGGGATTTGGACCATGGCCCCAGTCTACACTTCCTGACCTATAGAGGTATGCTGTAGCAGCATATTATAGATATTATAGAACAATTCAGGCTGGAAGGGACATCAGAGGATCTCGAGTCTGACTTCCTGCTCAAAGCAGGGTCAGCTATGAGGTCAGATCAGGTTCTTCAGGGCTTTATCCAGTCAGGTCTTGAATACCTCCAAGGATGGAGTGTAAAAAATGACAGGTGTTCATGTGGTGCACAAGACTGTTATATTGCTAGGTTTTTCCATCCTCATTCAGGGATGGTCAAATACACGGGGGATTACAGGGATGATAAAATACAACAGCCAAGTGTTGGAAATATCACTAACCTCTGAGCAAAGGCAGAAGAAGGAAATTCTCTCAGACTTGCCATGCTCAACAGGAAGGAAGGGAGGAAAAGGGTGAGATAAATAGATTCTATTTCTTGATGATTTTAATTACGTGTGTGATACAAGATTGAGAGAGACCCACCAAAGAATAGCCAATAGCCTGGTAGTACACCTTTGGTTTTGGGATACAACATTTCAAATCCCAGGTCTAAATCAGCAAAACAAGGAACCTCCATGCCTGTCTTCTATTTTGGCAATGAGTTTCCTAATCATGACTATAAGTTATCATAGTGTGAGCAAGTCAGTCTCACAAATTTTTAAGGGAAGAACTCCAAAATATTTGCAGTTGCATTGCTTCCAGGCCACAGATTTGAAACTTCCAACACCCATGGGACTGAAAAAACACTTCCTTCCTCTTCTTCTCTAAGTCTACTTGTTATCCAGAGAGCTATCCAACCTGACTTTGAAAATTTCAAACTTTTAGTTTCCTGTATATTCCAGTATTAAATTCCACATTTTTATTGCTGATTCTAAGAAAGAATTTTCCATGTTCAAAAAGTTTTCGTATTCAAGAAGTTACACCACTGTCTCTGATTTTTGGCTCATAATTCCTATTTCCTGATTAGACTGTAAAGAGGAAAAACTGAACTTAATCTTACTTCTCACAGTCCTTGAGGGAAAATTATTTCTAGGTCAAGCCCATGGAGAAATTGCAGACCAAAGCACTATCCTTTCTACACCTATGTTTATAGCAGGGCTAGATCCACAGGGAATATTTACTGCAGCACTTAATAGGATTATCAAAGGTAGGACTTCAGCTGCATAAGCTGCAAGACCCTTCAGGGATGGGACGATGATTGTTTTTACACTGATGGTCTCTGCCAGGGTGCTTATGACTGCTTTGCAGCTGCTTTGCACAGGCACAGTTGGTGTAAAATAGCCTTTGGCTACCTGTGAATCAGTCCCCTACTCTCAGCAAAGACTGAAGGATTTTGTTCAATGTCCTTAAATGGGATGAGTACATGTCAAACCATGGGAAGAAATCAGCTTTCAGTTAATTCTAAGTGGCTTTTTGAGCAAGAAGGCACAGGAACTGTAAAGACAACTTAAAATTATTGTTCTGTTTGTTTTACTTTTTGGCTTGTATTACTCAGCTCTTTTTCTCTGCGGTTGCAACATGCTTTACATAAAAAAGAAATCTTGTTTAGACAGAGGCTTCAGGTATTCCAAAGTGAGTATGAGTTAGCTTTGGCTATATAACAGCAACTGCCCTGGTAAGAAAGCCACAGAGTGGGGCAGGGTGAGAAAGCAATGATATTATATATTTTTTAGGAAAATTTTGAAATGAGAAAAAATGCCAGTTTCATGCTCATTCATTTTTCCTCTGCAAGATGCGCTTTGTGATGTGGCAGAGAAACTACATGACTGTCCCTTTAAAAGCCATCATACCAATCACCAGGTTTAACTGTCAAGCAAGCTGATGTAGGGCTCTTTGAATTACTGAGTGAGGGATATTCTTCCTGCCAGGTCCTGTCCCCTGTAGGCACTCCAGAGAAGTATTATAGGGCAGTCCTTACCTTGGGAATTAGCCTGCAAGACCCCAATGCTGTCATCAAACTGCATAGATTTGATGTTGAGTGACGCCAAGATGCATTCCTTGTCCTGCAGCGAAGCATCATCAATATTATTCTGATTGGCTGACAGGATAACGCACATGTCGCAGAGGTTGATGTTGACAGCCCTTAAATCAGCCCGACTTAATGGTGTACCCTTCGGCACAGAGAAAAAAAAAACGGGGGGGGGGGGGGGGCAGGAGAGGAAAAAAAGAAAAACAAATTAAAGATTGAGAAGGAGCTTTGGGAAATTATTTAACAAGTATCTTTTTTATGCTCTGACATTAAGCTGGTCTAACTATGTGCCAGGGAATAGGAGATGTGTGCTAATCTAAAGGGTAGTTGGTGCTGATGGCAGCATTTTAGGTTCAGTCTCAATACTCAGTCAAGCTATTACTAACAAACAAGAAACAGGAATAATGCCAGCATTCTACATCTCATGACTTGAAATTGTCTTGATTTAAGTTGCTATAATGTGGCAACCTCTGGCTCTCTGAATATAACAAGGGGTGTGTTTTAAATGTCTATTTATCTACTACCAAGTCACAATGGTCTTGGGCAAAAGAATAGCAATTTAAACAGGAAAGCATTATGTGTCCTACACATTTGAAATGCAATCAGGATAAAGCTATTTTTTTCCACCTGAAGCAATACACAAAAAAGGTTAATCCTTTTCATTGCACGTTTTTGGTGCTTCTAGAAGCAAAACACACTGATCTTGTTGTTGTGCAATTAAACCCTTTGAAACAAGAATTTATCTTAATGGGGACAACTCATACAACATTCTCTGCTTCCACAATTCTCAATCAGAGAACGCAACAATTAAAATGAAATGTTGTGGTAGTCTGCGGGTTATTTTCATAGTTAACACAAATGAGACATGACACTTAACCCATTATGTTTTGTTTAAAGATAACACTTGCCTTTCACATCCAACAGTCCACATCTCTAGTTACAGAATATTAAATCTATGTCACAGAGGCTGCAAGGTCCAGGGAAAAAAAAAAAGATTTTTTACAGAAACTAGATTCTGCTCTGCTGCCTCACATGGTTTGGTACCCAAAGACCCTAATGATGATGAGAAGACTAAGTTGTCCCTTTGTCACACAGCAACTTTCATAAAACCAAGTCAAGACCCTACTCTTCCATCTCCTGATCACTCATGGTGAACGTCTCCTGAACTCCACTGAGAATATTCAATGCAAAAGTGAATTTAAAATGCACAAAGTGAAGGTAGAGCTCAATTCTTATTCAGTGATTGCCACCTAGTTTCAGATACCAGCCTCACTATTCCACGTTACTTTCAACAATTTGAGGCATGAAACCTTGTGGAAAACAGTATATATTGAACAGATCTGATTTAGTTATAAAGTACTCAGAAGTTAGGACATGATTATTCCTGCCACCTTAATTCTGCCCTTTGTGTCTCTACTGTGCACCAAGTGAAGCAGGATTCCTGTGGGGAAAAATAATATCCAATCATGTAATTAATTAAAGGCTTACTCCTAATGATTTTATGCAAAGGGACAGAATTAAGGCTGCCTGAGGATATTTAAAATTGGCATTTGCCTACTTTTTAAGAGTTTACTCAGCATATAAATGCCTCTTTTAATACAGACTTTAAATGAAATGTCCACTTTTTTTTTTTTTTTTAAACCAGAACGGATGTTTTTATATTCAGCTGTAACTACATCCCTATCAGATATCAGCAGCAAGTTTTACCTCATGAACCAAAGCAGAGAAGTAGGAAATGAGTTTGAGTGGTCTCCCTTTAACACGATTCCTACTAGTATGATCTCAGAAGCTTTAGTAGACTTTTAAATTAGCATAACTAGATCAGAATAATGCTGATATTTTTAACTTTATATCACCATTTTGAACCAGATAGGCTGAAAAAAAAAAAAAAAAAGAAAAAGCAGTAATGAAGTCTGTGTGGTCTTCAGCACCCTTGATTACTGTGTAAGATACAATTCCTTTACATATTCTGTATTTTTAAAGGTGCATTAACTAACTATTTAAGCTGTTTAACTTGAAGTTAGTCCAAAACTACACTAAAATTCTGTGCAAACTGATTGGGAAATTTAAAGGTGGTGTACATTTCCTTAATGTCTCTTCAGAATTCAGAATCAAAACTTTGCAAATACGCACTATAATAGTGGATACACATGTACTGGATAGTTTGGAAGCACTAGCTGGATTCTATTCTGCTCCACTGTTCAACAGTATTATTAATTTAATTCTGATTCCTTAGTCTTTAGCCTTCACAGTGACTGGAATTAAAAGGGATTGGCAGGAAGAGGAGGATATTAACTGACCAAATCTGATATTGACACCATTTTTGTGACAGCAGCGAATCTTGTGACACCATCTGTTGGATCAGTTTACAGAAAAAAGCCAAGGGCTAACACTAAAACTGCATTTACAGTAACAAAACCTACAGCCTGAATTAATCAGAAGTGAAGGCAGTCTTTCCATTCTATAGCTATTTTCCCAATTATTCAGTTTAGGTTACATCCATCTGATTTATTTATTTTTAACTGCTGAAATGTAATTATTAAGAACTGGTAAATTCATAATTTTTCATTCTGATAAAAACATACAAACTAGCTTTTCTCTGTAACGTACAGAGCATTCTCTTTTGCACTTACACCGTGGGCTCATTTCCCTCCTGCCTACATCTTTGTGGGTCATTTATAGCTAAGCCCACTTAAGAGCACCAGCTTGGAGGGCTTCATTTGTTTGTCCTGGAGCTCATGTTTCTACATTTTGGGCACATGAGTGAATGAGAATGATATATAGGAGAAAAAGGACCTCTGTATTGTGGTTTTAGTCATTGTCCCTACTAAAATCAATAGGAGCTTTTCATCGACTTCAAAAGGCTCATGGTTTTGCCATACTTCCATAAATGAGTATGGCAGGACTCTGAACGGAAATGCTATGGCAATGTTCCTCATAAAGTAGGCCAGCCTACAGGAAGTTTTTACGTATAGAGATAGATATTATGTAGATAGAGTAACAATAATTTTTTTCAAAGGTTTTGTGGGTATAAATACCTAAATAATGTCATAAATAACTACTGTCATTCTGTCAGGGAAATCACAACATCAGAACTGGCTACATGCAGTGCACTGCAGTGAATGTTCAATATATAACACAGCTAATACATTTGATGGCAGCTGAAATTCATCCGATGAGGATGACGAGGAACCAAATACTGCGGCAAATATCTTCTAATAAGGTCTCACAGGGCTCTGTTTTCATAGACACAGTAAAGGGAAAATCTAAGTCCTCAGGCCTATAAGTAGACAAAAATAAAAAAGCCTAAGATCAAAGTCAATATGAATCTGTCCAGCTGATGTCCTAAATAACAAAGTATCAATAATACGGCTTTGGACTTACAGGCAAGATTGAAACCTTGGGGAAGTTATGCAGTGTCTCCCATTCCCTTCTCAGGTATTCAAGTGAACCCACAAACACAATGTGCTTGAGTTCGTGGTAGTGAAAGTTGCTGGCTCGTAATGGCATCACTAAATTTCTTAATCCAATCAAAGCAGATTTAACATCCCCAAATATGCAAACGACTACATGCCCACTTAAAACTGTCATCGCTGCTTCACTTCGAGTCTAAAAAAAAAAAAAAAACAAAACAAAAAGACAAGGGAGAAATGAAACAAAGGGAAGCTTAAATCATATATTGAGTTTTAAACCAGGAAAACCACAACTGTCAATATTGTTCATGCACAAAGAAGCAGTTTGGTAATAGCTGTTCATTTTACCGTTGTTTATCCTTCATTAAACATGCTCAGCAGAAGAAAATTTTGTTCTTGTTTGCAAATCCTTCAGTGTTTGGGAAGATGTTGTACTGGACTGCATTCTGGTCCTGTATATGCTTCTGCACATGTGGATTAAGACTCTGGTTACTATCAAAGTACTGTGGGTTTAGCTAAGAACGGAATTTGACCTATGAGGCATTTAGCCATTAGAAGGATTACAGAAAAGAGATGCAAACCCATGCCTTAGCTGACAAATCACTAGTGTTGTTTTTTCAAGACCAATTTGAAAAGGAAAATGTGAGTGCCCAATGATCTTAGTAGGGCTTTGTGGTATTACACATATCTTGTGAACTGAGGACTATATTCTCTTCAAGTCAAAGTTCTTATTTTAGGACAAGCTGCTACTACCCTGAGAAGCAATCAACGAATGCTCTACACTGCTCTGCTTTACAATGGATGCCCACCATAATCCACAGAGCTTCTCTCAGTAAGAAAAAACTAGTGTGCAAGATCATGACTAATACTAAGTTTTCAGGCCCACTGGACTTCCTGAGTTGTTGAATAGATGGAAGGAAAAAGGCCTCATGGAGAACATTTGAATGATGTTCAGAATTATCTTCTTGTCTCAGTGACGAGAATAAATTTATGCACTAACTTAATCAGTGGTAATGTCAGATGAGCAGGCAACTCAAACACCAAGATGATTAAAGTCAGTCATTAGGAAAAAATGACCTTCATTTCTGGAGCCAGTCTTAGCATTATTGCACTCCATCAAGTAGCTGCAGATCCACTGATATCATATTGCCAAGAAGTTGTACACTCAGTACCATTACATAGAAGCTTTGCCAATGAATAAAACTAAGACAATGGTGAACTGCAAAATTTTCCCCTCACTTATCCATAATATCCTTTTTCTAAATTGTGGAAGCATGACAATGTGCAATACAGATTGGAATATGCAGCAGAGGTGTTCACTATGTAAGAAGAACAGGAACTCTGATTAGAAGTTTTGTCATCAGTTAAAAAATACATGAGCTTTCAGTTTCTCTGGGGCAATTACACTGGTTTTCATACAACTCTACCAAGAGAGTGGTCTCGGCCCTTCAAGCAGCAGAAGACATGAGCGGATGCTCGGGTGAAGCATGTAAGTTGTCCCATGCCTCTGCCTATGGGTCTGGAATACTCAAACTTTACAAGACAGAGACCCAGTCTTGAAAGAAATTATGTAAAAAATGTCACTCTATAGTCATTGATCTGTATATAGCCACATACATTTGACTGTATGTCAAAAAAAGTTCTTATTACCTGATACTGCTGGAATCTCACAGAGTCAAAACAGAGCTTGGGCAGAAAAATGAATTCTTTTCTGATTGAAGCATCATCAAGTGTCAATTAGAAGACAACCTGGGAAATCCCATCATCTTCAAATTATGTACTAATTTGTACTTGTGTGGTCTCTTAAGGACAGCGTTAAATTTGCATGGATATGAATACAGACATAAATTGTGGACTGTGAGTTTGAAAAGGTGTAGGGAAGCATTTTTCTGGCAGTGTCTTTACTGGTGATGATGCATGAAGCAGAAAGAACCTGGCCAGACTTAGAGATTCACAGGCTAGTAGGGGGAAAAATTGACATGGCATCACCAAGAGATATTAAATGAGGCACTGCACAGTGCCATTTTTGGAGAAACGCTTTTCAAAGCAGGACAACATGTAAAGGTTGTCTGCCAAAATGTGTTTAGAGCATGAAGGCAGATTTCTATCTCTGCCTATTACAAAGTATTGTACAGCAGGGCTGCCCCTCCTTGCCTGCTGAATACATATAAATGCATACTATTTAAAGCTGTTCAGTCAAACTCCGTCTCACAGCTCAGTCTCTAGAATTTGGAATTCACTGGCTTGACTGTTTAAACACCGATATTGCAATTCCAGGCAATGTCACAGTTATTACAGAAACCCCTGAGGAGAAGTGGAGACAAGCTTTTAACCCCTGATTGCTAGAATAAACCAGGGCTGTCACCATCATCGGCTACACCACACCACAGTGCAGGAAAATCTAAGAGAGCAGGCTCAGGAAAAGCTTTATGAAGTGCGACAAAGTGAAGATCCACCAGGGAGTTCATTTCAAATATCATCAGTTTTGCGTATGAGATCTGGACTTAGTTACTTGTTACTCTTAGGTATGAGTACATGAACACAAGTGGCACAAACTTTCACCGAGCAAAATAGACTGTGATAGGCCTTCTAATTATTTTTAATGACTTGAGTCAGTTTGATGGTTTCCTCAGTTAAACAAACAAAACAAACATAGACTAGGCCCACTGCAACATGCTAGAAAGGCAGAGTAGTAGTACTACTTACTCTGGCCTATTTGGGCATCTTGAATGTTGGAAATTGAGAGAGAAGTTCTAAGAGAGCAAAATTCACATAAATGAATAGGAGGTAATGCAAAGCAACACTTGCCTGTATTAGAATCATTACTGCCTTGTGTAAAGAGATAAATGGAATATGTAAACATTTAAATATTTCCAATCTTAATTCTCTAAAGATTTAAACTCAATATGCAAATTTCAGCTTATGAAAAAGAAATTCTCTATTTTGGACCAATTTTTATTGTTGCACTTGGCATACAGATTTATATAATCATAATTCTTTAACCAAAATGCTAGCTTTGATTTCACCATGCTGTGTTTCTGATTTCAATACGCTGGATTTAATGATAGTAGAGATTAATTTATTAATCCATTAGACATCAGTTCTATGGTTCAAATAACCTCTTTTCAAACACAACTTATCATCAATACCTACCAAAATGACCTTTTCAATGTCCTTGGCTGGACACCAATGAAACATCCCTGTAGAGTCATATTTTTTCACATTGGCATCCATATTGTCAATCTGCTCGTTGCCAGGAATTAACAAGGGGTCATGCCTGGGGAAAAACAAGTTGAGGACAACATAAGTGGAAAATATTATGAATTATGGATGGTAAGATATCCCAAGAGCTGTGTACAAAGAGGGATAAAAGTAAAAAATGAAATGTATTTACACTTTAACATGCTTTTAATGCGGGCACTTTTAAACAAAAGCTGAAAAGAAAAAAAAGTTAGTTTTAACATTTTGGGTGCAGTTTCAAAGATTTTCGCTACTCTTTCTACACCAATAACCATTTAATTTTAAAGAGGGCTTTCTGACACCATCACATCCATAAAAGTTTTTTTTCTTTTCAGTCCCACCCCTCCAAAATAAATATTGGAGTTGCTATTAGCATCTGCAATGAAGTAGAAGGGATAGGAACAGAGCCCCATGCTGACTGACTGGCATAAGTACGGAAAGCCAATTACTTGCTTTTACCACATACAATTTCTGACGTGATGCTCTTCGCAGTAAAAGCTTTAACAGGCTGCACTTTAAATATTTTAGCAATTTGCCCAATCATATTTTGCTTTCCCAAACTGAAGCCCTTTAAAGATTCAACAGTATGTCATTTTAGAGCAGACTGACTAACAAATGCCCACATCTGGAATACATGATTTTAATACCAAACAACAATGTCCATTTTCTCAAACAACTCTACCTGTGATAACCTTTTAAGTGTTTTTGCAGTAAGATTTTAAAGCACAAGGTTTCTCAAAGGAGAAGCAAATAAAAGACATTTTAATAAACTTGCTCTCCAGCAATACAGTTACACCTAAGCACAGACACATACAGTTCTTTAACTTATATGCTAAAACCAAACATTAAGCCAAGTTCTAAGTGACTCCAACACTCTCAGAATCTAGTGAGGACCCCTAAGTGAATGCATTATACAATAGCCTTAGAAGGAGGACTGCGTTTACAAGGCACAGGGTAAACTGACCCTAAAATCTTTAATTCAAGGAGGGAATAGAGCTTTGTCTTGCAAAACCACAGTCTTTACTTAAGGTTTTTGTCATGAGTATTTGAAATATCTTGATACAGAATTGTAACATTTCAAAAAAGAAATTATTTGAAGTGCAGGAATATGCTAAGTACTCTGAGACAGGCAGCCAAATTTTAAAGCAGTTTGCCTTTTGAAGCCTGTTAAAGAAATGTCCATATTGGCTGAACTCTCAAAACTGGAAAGTTTACTGCTTTTAAAGCACATGAGCCAGCAGACTCTGGTAAGAACCTCTGCTGCATTGTCTACTAAAGCAGACTTCACTGTGTATGATATAGGTTCATTTACCCTCAACATAGTACAATGAGTTACCATGCTTAAAAGAGTTATGCTTGCATGCCTAAGAAAGGTATAATCTCTAATTCCGTCAGGGTGATTAATTTGCATAATTTTATAGCCACTGATTACATATCCATTTAAATCAGTGGAAAATTCTCATTCATTTCACTCAAACAGTGTCAACTCTATAGAAAGTGGCTTAAAAGAACTTGAGAAATTATTAATACAATGTTCCATTTAAACCAGAATCTTTTGATGCTTTAAGAAAAGCAATGCACTACATGGCAAAGGCCTAAGTCAGACTCATCTGGAAAAAGAAACACTATGTTTTCAAAGTTTTTTACATTCACCCAACAGAGATACAGTTCAGTGCATTTCACTATCAACCCCCTGGCAGCAGAGGAGTCTCTAGGGGACCACCTGGAGTCTCTGACCCGACTCCAGGTTTAGTAATGAAAGGCCTCGTGTAAGTGTGCTCCCTCTTCTGTGGGAAGCAGAGGTGACTTCTTGGTGCAAAAGCTGTACCAAAGGGTTTTGTTGTTCTTTTTTTTTTAATTTCTAGAAAAATATCTAGACTGCATTCTCACACTCCATTCATCAGCGAGCTGCAGCCGTGGTAGTTTTGGCTGGCAGCTAACTGTGATGCTGTTCACAGGGTGTTCCTTGCTGCTCATAGTTGCATGTAGTACAATAAGGTCTGCAAGCATGGATACGATTCCATTTTAAGGTTGTACTAATGTTTAGACAGCATTTAGTGGTACTCTGTCCTAGCTATTTTTTCTGATGGAATGTGTTAGCTATGTGTTTCAGAATAAGAAATTTTGCCAAAAGGTTAGGAATCTTTGGGAGCTTCCACTGAGAAAAGTTTTTCTTTCGGTTTTGTTTTTTGTTTTCCCCCTAAACTTTCACAAGACATTTATCCACCAGCCTTTTGTAGCACAGCACTGAAACAAAAGCAAAGTTCACTGATCAGATCACCTCCTTTTTCTTTCAGAAATTAGATGCACATAGGAAGGAATTTTCCTTTTCCCTTTCCCTTCACCAGAGAAACTATAATAAATCAATTTGTAAAAAATGCCACATTCTAATTTTCTAATCATTGTTTCTTTTCTGCTCTGAGATTTAAAACTAAATAGATCATTTGAAGCTTTCACACAAATGCATATTTAGCAATACTCTAAACCCAGTCACAGAAATGATGCAAATTGAAAGGAATCTTAAAACAAAGCAGGTGATAACAGATATCTGACATCAAGTTATGGTCAACTTCCTTGAAGTCTGAGGCAATTTTAAATATGTGTGTGCTTAAAACCGAGCAGAGTTCTCTTTTGGGTAAGGGCCTTGCATCCTAAAAGGGAATATTCAAAGCAGCTTGTGCCAAAGATTTATTAGAATTTTAGCTCAATACTATATTTTCTAGTTATCTTAGGTTTAAACAGAAGTGTGCTATGGAAGGGGCAAAGAATGTGAATCATCAGATATAACTCCCTACTGCAGTTTTAGGTAACAAATTGTGATTTTTTTTTTTTTTTTTTTTTTTTTAAAAAAATATGTCCTTTTTTTTAATATGAAAAAGGTTT